CCCAATGAAATATTCTCTAGAACTCCCAAGGGACAATGTTGGTGATCTGGATGATACCATTACTGAGCCAAATCTATGAAATCATCTCCATCCATTAGGAGCAATCTGGACATTCACTATTGTAATAAATCATCTCAATAAGTTTGGAGAGGACTGAACACTCAATATTGTACAAATACAACACTGTGCTTGTCCGCAGAGCAGGCTGCAGAAGGGGCTGCTGAGTATTCATTTGATAGGATGATTTTCTTTTTCTTTTTCCTCCTGAAAGCAAAATGAGATAAGAAAAAGGAACTGGATGATTTTCAGTACCTGCAGACTCAACAAAAACTGGAGAATCCCACCAGAGCCCATAGGCGGGAGACCAGCCCAAGCAACTTGGAGAGACCTCATCTACACAAGAAAAAAATAAAAAATTAGCCAGGCCTCATAGCGTGCACCTGCAGTTCTGGCTACTTGGAAGGCTAAGGTGGAAGGATTGCTGGAGGCCAGCAGGTTGAAGCTGCGGTGGCTATGAGGGTGCCAATGCACTCCAGCCTGGATGATGAAATGAGACTCCAACACAAAAACAACAACAACAACAACAACAGCAGGGAGAATCCCCAGCAGCCAGATTAAAAGGGGAATATGGCCAGGCTCGGTGCCTCATCCTGTAATCCCAGCACTTTGGGAGGCCGAGGCAAGTGAATTGCCTGAGCCCACAGGTTCGAGCTCAGACTGGGCCACTTGGTGATACCTCGTCTCTACAAAAAAAAAAAAAAAAAGAAAAAATTAGCCAGACATGGTAGCATGTGCCAGTAGTTCCAGCTACTTAGAAGGCTGAATTGGAAGGATCAGTCCAGCAGATCGAGGCTGTGGTGGCTGTGAGTTTGCCACTGCACTCCAGGCTAGGCAACAGAATGAGACTCCAACTCAAAAAAAACAAAACAAAACCCTAAAGGAACAGACTACAGACTGGGATCCATCTATGGCCTATTGCTGCATAGCCAGGAACTCTTTTCCCTTATGCAGCTCTCCCCACCTTGGAGCATCCTTCCACAAAGTGAGGCCACATTTCCTATTTCAGACTATGATAGGAACCCACCAAGGATGGCAGACTTAGGGACCTGGCCTCTTGGGCCCTCACTTGTCCAATTTTCATCATTCCTATATTCTGGAGCAAGTATTGTACCCTGACATCGTGGTCCCAGTGCCATCTGCTTGACCTTAGACTTCTGCCTCATTGGTGGTCAGGCAATGGCCACTCAGTGCATGGCACTCAGTACAGCCATCATTGGCTCCTTGAGTGAATAAGGTTGATGACTGGTCTGTGGGTTTCTGTCCACCCTAGTCGAGGTGGCTGGTTGCTTTTCAAGTCTGGTGACATCTCTGGTTTGAACCGACTGGGCATGAGTGGGTCCCAGGTACCCACATACTATGCCAATGGTTCTCATCCTGTGAGAACACTTGGACCAAATTCTAGTTTTGGTCAGGGCCACATGTTTGCTGTTTGATCATCCTAGGTATCCCTCAGGCCCATCCTCTCCCAGAGGTCAGGTTGAGACCTCTCGAGTGTAAGACTTGTGCCATTTAATGGAGGCACTGTCACACAGATCAGATAGCATGAGGACAAAAACATACTGCTGACTGGATAAACCTTTGAGGATGCCTTACTCACCCTCTGGTTCAGAGGCCTTCAATTGTCCAACTTCCTTGCTGACATTGATTTCACAGGGCTGAGGAGTTATGGAATTTGGGGGCACTATGCTGGGTGCTACCTTGATTTTTCTGGGCCATGTGGGTCACTTTTTCTTAAGAAAGTTAATCTGCAGTTGTCACCATAAGGGAAAGGGGTATGTCAGCATTTACAGTGGACTAGGCAGGCCCTGGTGTTGGAGGCCCAGTGGGACAGCAGGGTGAGGCTGTCCTGTTGTCCTAATGTAACAGGGAACATATGGAACAAGACTGTCCCATGAAACAAGACTGGGTTCCTGTCTTTTCAATATTTCCTTTGAAGCAGTTTAAAATTTTGACCCGTGATTGTGGATGCTCAAATGGCTATGCCTCCAAGACTGGCTCCCAACACGTGACGTCTTTTTTCTGAACAAAAATGTGTAAAGTTTGCTGCACACCAGTCTCTAACACCAATTGTTTGTCCAACAATTCAATTCTGTCACCACCCAGAGTTAGCCCAAACATGCAAGTTCAGGCCTCAGTCCCAGAACATTGCAAACACTGTTGATGCCAGTTAGAAAACCCAGGGGGTCACCTTTACCCCTGAGCAACTCCCTATAAATCAGGTGCTGCCCAAGCCCCTCCTCCAGTCCAATAACTTGATGGAATACTCACAGAACTCGGTAAATAATTTCACTTATATTGTTCAGTTATTATAAAGGATACAACTCAGAAACAGCTAAGTGAAAGAAAGGTATACAGCTAGGGCCAGTGGCAGGAGATGTGGGTGGAGAGGGAATTCTGATAAAAAGCTGTGATTGAAGATGCCCCATCACTCATATTTTGCAAGAGCAGCTTGCGGCAAAGAATACCCCTTCTCATGAGGACTTATGTTATGTTTCTCTATCTCAAAATCACTTAGAGAGACACTGCAATTTCCCATTTTCTGCCTCATAAGCAATTAGATAAACACTTTTGTCTTCAGTGATCTGAACACAACTCATGCAAACCAAATTTTGCTTATGTTTCCCTCCTCCCAGACCCCCGAACTCTAACCCACCCTAAGCCTGAACCAACACACCCCTCTTCATGTCCTTCCTAAGACCAGGCTAACTTCAGAGTGAGACATTCTGTGACCTGGAATCTGCTGCTGCCACCCTCCATCCTGCCCTCCCCCATACCTCCTCCCCCCTCTTTCTGAGCTTTTTGACTCCCCAGGAAAGAAAACCCATTTGTACCTAAATTTTGAGACACCTGAAGATCTATCACGAGTGTTTCCACCCTACTGCAATACTCGCTTGTCTGAAGTTATTTTAATCCAAACTCAAATTTATTGTATGTGACAACCTATAGCAAAAGGCCCAGGACAGTGAGTGTGCAACTCCACTCCAACCTGGGTGAAGGATTGAGACTCTGACTCAAAACAAAAAAAAAGTAATCTTATGAACTTCAACAATTAATCTACCACATTTTCTGGTGGAAATGTATTTGATTTTCACAACCATAACAAGAGAAAAATTGTCCTTTAACGTATCAGAGCCTCTGTGTCACCTTGGCGAGGAGAGAGGGGTGGGAAAACTACAGTATAAATATATAATTATATATAATTATATTAGTATATAGTTGTACATTAATTATAATTAGTATATAATATATTAATATATCATATGATTCTATATACCCCTCACCCTAATTATAGATTAATTATAATTGCTATATAATATATTAATATATTTTATGATTCTATATCATCCTAACCCTAATTATAGATTAATTATAATTAACCACTAAACAATATATTAATATATGATTCTATATAACACTAACACTAATTATATATTAATAATAATTAATCACTTTATAATATATTAATATATGATTCTAAATAATCCTAATGCTAAATATATATTAATTATAATTAATCACTATATAATATATTAATATATTATATAATTCTATTTAACCCTAACCCTAATTATATATTAATTATAATTAATTACTATATAATATATTAATATATTATATGATTCTATATAGCCCTAACACTATTTATAACCTTAATTAATAATAAATATTAATATATTATATGATTACTATATCACATATGATTCATTTATAGCAATTATATTAAATATAATTATATGTAATAATTATATTACATATAATTAATATGCAATAATTATTAATATTCCATGGTATAGTATATATTGGTATAATAAATAGGATATATTATATATACATGGTATATAAGGGGAATATAGTAGTATAATATATAATCATATATAATCATATTAATATATAATTATATATTAATTATAATTGATCACTATATAATATATTAATATATTATATGATTACATATAACCCTAACGCTAATTATATTTTTATTCTAATTAATGACTATATAACGTATTAATATACAATTATATATTACCCTAACCCTAATTATATATTAATTGAAATTAATTAATAGATAATATATTAATATATCACAAGGTTATCATATATCATATATAATTATTATATAATGTATGATTAATATACAAAAATTATCAATATATTATATAGTATGATATATAATAGTATAATATATAGAATATACTATATATATAAATTATATAATATATACAATATATATAATCCCCAGTATGCTCACGATCTCCCGGCTTCCGGGTGTCCCGGTGTCCTCCCCATGGACTCCCGAGATTTGCAGGTCACAAGGCGGCAGAGGCTGGAGCGAAGACCCACGGGGCACGTGGATTCCGGAGGGCAGGACAAAGCTGAGAGGACGACCCAGCTCCGTGCGCAAGCGCAGGAGACGAAGGCCCGGTCAGCGGTTTAAATCCGCCCATTCTCTTCCGGCTTTCGTCTGATTGGCCACTTCAGATATCAGCTTCCGTTGATTGGACAAGACTCTTGACTGACAGGAGATGCAAAACGAAAGGAACTCCACAGGCAAAGACGCGTTTAGATTTCTCCTAGCCCCGGAGTCAGGGCTGAAGGTGGGGCCAGGAGGGTTGTGGGCCCGTAGCGGAGCATGATGGGAGTGTTCGTCGCTCTTGGTTGGTGGGTCGCTGGACTGTAGGTCTATTCCGCCTCTCCCGGGACACTCTGGAATAGTAGTCCTGCAGCTCCGCGACGCCCAACCAGGAGCCATGTAGACGCCAGTGTTCCCAGCAGGCCCTGCAGGGGGCCCACAATCCTACCCCTCCCCAAAACAGTTCCGGCGCTGGGAGGAATCTCCACGTTTTCTCGCCTCCTGCAGCCCGCATCTCCTGTCACTGAAGACCAGATGGACTGGAGTTTTATCTAATCCACGATCAATGGGGTCCGAACTGGCCAATCAGACAAGAGCCGGAGGTGAGGGGGCCGTTTCCGGTCCCTGACTGGGCTTTTTGTATTCTGCGACTGTGAGAGTGGTGGATCATCTCCTGGAGTATTGCCCATCTTCGCATCTTCCTCTGTCGTCCTGTGTCCTGCTTGTCCTGGGAATCCGTGGGGAGGACGTCGGGACGCCCGGAAGCCGGGAGATGGTGAGTGTAGGGCGGGTGTCTCGAGAGAGGGAAGGGATGGACACAGATGACCCAGCTGCGGCAGGACCGGCCTCCCCATCAGCTCCCAGACTGGGCCCGCCCCCGCCGGCGACTCGGCCCGGTCTCCTCTTAGTAGGTGGGGTTGGGCCTGGTCCCCGCGTGCTGTCCTGTCCCGCCTCCAAACCCACTTCCCACAGACCCCCGCTCCGGATGTGCGGGACTCCGGAGGTTCGTGAGGAAGATCCGACCCGCGTGGGTACCCGTTTGTGGGGAGGGGGCTATGGTTCTGGCCCCGTCCCACCCTCCTCCCTGTGGTTAAATGGAGACTCCGTCACAGCGTTAAGGAGTTTACTTGGGCCAACAGCGGATCTGCGTCTCGAACCCCGGTCAGGGGTCTTGGTGAGGGGTCCCCGGAGGGCCTGGAGGGAAAGGCTTGCAGAAGGGGCAGGGGGAGCGCTGTCTCTCTGGGCTGGGCTTCCTTGGCATCTCCCCTTTCCCTGTACACTTCTCTCCCCACCTCCCCCTCCCTCTCTCTCCTCCCCGTGTCCCCCTCGCTCCTCCCCGTGTCCCCCTCGCTCCTCCTCCCATCCCCATCTTCTCTCCCCTCCCCACCCCCTCTCCCTTCCTGGCTACATACCCCCTTCCATGCCACCTCCTCCCCATTTTCCCTTCCCTTCCCACTCCCCTCCGCCTCCTTCCCCTCTCCCCCTCCCCTTCTCACCTCCCCACCCTACTCTTCCCTACTCCTCCACCCTTCCCTACCCCACTCTCCCCTCCTCCTTCCCTTCTCATCTCCCTCTCCTGTCCCACTTCTTTCCTCCCCATCCCCTCTCTCCTCTCCCTGTCTCTTCCCCTTCCCCCTCTTTCTCTTCTCTCCCAACCCATCTACCCTCCCCATCATCCCTGTCCCCTCCTTGTCTTCCTTTCTTCCCACCCTACTCTCCTGCCCCTCCTTCCCTTCCCGTCCCCTGTTCCCATTCCTCTCCTCCTCCAATTCCCCCTCCCCATCCTCCCTCCCTTCCTTCCCCTCTCCCCCTCCCCTACTCCCTTACCCACCCACTTACCCCTCCTCCTTCCCTTCCCATTCCCCTTCATCCATTCCCCTCTCCTCTTCCCTCCCTACCCCATATGTCCTCCCCGTCACTCCTCTCCCCTCCCCTCCCCCTTCTCCCATTTCCCTCTACTCTCCCCACCCCCTCCATATCCCCTTTCTGCCCTCCTCTCCTCTTTCCATCCCTCTCTTCCCTCTCCCTTTAGCTGAGTGTGGCTTCTTAGCCCCCTGAGTCCCAGCATAAATCCTCATAGCCAGACAGCCAGTAAGTCGAGAGATGAAGTTGGAACAAAAACAGGTTGTGACTTGATTTAGGAGAGACATTACAATGAGGGTCCGGTGTCCTAAAGACCCATGTTAGGTTGAGTTTGCTGTCTTGGGCTTTTATCATGGCTAGAGGAACAGAGGGGACTGAGATCAAGACGTGGCAATGGGAGAAAAGTTTGAGAAGGGGCAGGTGAAAATCAGCCATGGGCAGGTGCTGGTGGGTGACAGCCCCACAGTCACCTGATCTGGAATATCCAGTTAGAAAATCCCAGGACAAGTCATCAGGGTCATTGGCACTTTGTGTCACCAGGTCCAAAATGTCAGGGTATGTCAAGTGAGCGTGGATGGGTAGATATGGTTGGGTGCACACCAGCAACAGGTCCAAGTAATGCAAATATTTGCAACACACAAAGAGTGAAAGAAGAAAAGATTTATTTAAGAAAGAGATCAATTCTCACAGCCCCTTAGTCCCCTGAGCCCCAGCTTAAATCCTCATAGTCAGACAACCAGTAAGTCTACAGATGAAGTTGGAACAAAGGCTATGACTTTATTTAGGAGGGACATTACAATGAGGGACTGGCATTCTAAACACCTAGCAGGTTGACCTTGGGGTGGCTGTGAGTATGTCACTGCTATCCAGCCTGGATGGAGTGAGACTCTGCCTTGAAAAACAATAATAATAAATAAATAAATAAATATACTTTGAGAGATTACGTGCTGTGGTAGATACCTGTAGACTGATTGCTGCCTAAAACGCTTTTCTTTGTCATTAAATTGACATTTTAAATTACTATATTGGCTGGACGCAGTGGCACTTTGGGAGGCTGAGACGAGAGGATGAGAGTTTTCCATCTGAGCAGTATATACAACTTATTCTGTGTGAAGTAAATATCTCACTGAAAAATGTACATGCCTAAGTTGTCCAAGTTTATGTTGCATCATTCACAAAAACAGAGTGTCTACACTGTGTGAGTGAATTTTGTTTCATCCTTTTATCTCAGACTTAATGCATTAGAGAAATTTTCTGTTACAAATTACCTTATTGCATAATTCTGGTTGTCATATCAGCTGGACCCCGTTCTCTTCACTCTTTACCTAGACACATGTTCACTTGGTAAATATGTGTTATTTTTGTTGTTTTCAGGGGCTGTTGACTTTCAAGGATGTGGCTGTAGAATTCTCTCCAGAGGAGTGGGAATTCCTGGACCCAACTCATCTGATATTATACCATAACGTTATGTTAGATAACCACAGAAACTTGGTTCTTCTAGGTGAGCACTGTCTTAACACACAATCCCTATTTTATACAAAGGATTTTATATCCTTCCTTTGTAGAATGTTTTCTGGGAATTTCTGCTTTGTGCAAATGAGTTCACATTCTGCTATCAAAGAAAAGTTTTTGATTTATTAACCAAAAAAAAATTAAAGATGTTTCATTTTGAAATGAGGCATGATCTATTTTGAATAGATATGTGTCCTTTTATCTATATTAGTAAGTCCAGAAATTTAGTCGAATAGAATATCATTACCCACACTTCAATCCAAATGCTACCATAAGTTTTTCATTCACTTCTACTGAGCTAATAACCAACAAATTTAAGGCTGTGCACAGTGGCTCCAGTCTGTAATCTCAGCACGTTGGGAGGTCAAGGTGAGAGAATTGCCTGAGCTCATGGGCTTGAGAAAAGCCTAGGCCACTTGGCAAGTCCTCATCTCTATAATAAATCAATAAATTAGGTGGGTGTGGTAGCATGCACTTATAGTTCTGGCTACTTGAAAGGCTGAGGGAGAATTGCCTGAGCCCAGCATTTCAACACTAGGGTGGCCATGAGAGTGCCACTGCACTCTAACCTGTTTGACAGAGTGAGATTCCAACTCAAAAAAAAAAAAGTAAGTAACCCACAAATTTAAAATTCTATCTAAATGTTCTATTGTTTCTATTGGGAAACAGTATTTTGGGATTAATTTTCTAGAATTTTATATAATGTGTTCTCTACTTAACACAACACTAGGTTTGCAATTGAGGAACCCCAGCAAGAGTCAAGTTGCTTTGTTCTAATTAAACAGGACTCGCTGTCTCTAAGCCAGACCTGATCAAGTGTCTGGAGCAAAGGAAAGAGCACTGGGATATGAAGAGAAACAGCATGCTAGTCAAACCTCCAGGTTGGGGTGAGTGAATGAAGTTGATGACAGAGGTCAAGATGTCCACAAAGGGACATCTGTTATTCCATGTTCTGAAATTCTCCAAAAGCTCTGCTGCTTCTTCAGTGATCTCCTTTCAAGGTTACAGAGAAAATCAGTCCACTTAATGGTTTGTTAGGAAGTGCATGATCTGACTACCTTTCTGATGCTTTTGGAGACGTGCAAATATCTGCTTATTTATTTAGAAAATCTATGTCAAAGTATTTTTTAAGTTTTCTTTTCACATCATGTTGGAAATAAGTGAGAGAAGTGGTTTTGATATTTGAGAAATTTTAAGAACTAAAGACAGATGTCATATGCTTTCAACTTAATGAGATTCTATCCTAGGGAAGTTTCCAATGTGATTTTGTATAACTTCATACTCCATAATTCTACCAGAACACCATTAATCTCTCTTGATAGAAGATATATTGTTAATTTATTTTTCTTTTTTCTGTTTTTAATGTACTGAGATAGGTAATTTATTTCTATATATTCAAATTATTTGGTATATCGTGTTGAGTATTGGTAAACATATTAAACTCCTAAATGTTACCTTACTGCTTAATAACTCTTATTTTATAATTTTGTTGTCTTTAATGTGATGGAATAGTTTATATATGTACCCCCATGTACATGTGCTTAAGTATGGGTCTTTAACATCTGATTTTATATACATAGATAAGAAATGTATAACTATATATTGGGTATAATGTGAAAATTTGATATGACTATACATTGTGAAACAATGATTCCAAATATGCTAATGAATATACCAATAACATTTCATAGTTGCCATTTCTATCTTGTGTAAGGAGAACACATAATGTTGTAAGTCACTATGTTATATGTTAGTTCCCTAAAACTCAGTGATAATTGAAATTTTGTCACCATTAGAAAACATCTGCCATTTTGTCAACTTGCAGTTGCTGGTGACCACCACTGTATTTTCTTCCTTTATGAGTGCAATCTTTTGATTCCACACATGAGTGAGGTCATGCAGCAATTCCCCCCCCCAGTTGAAGTCTCACTCCATTACCCAGGCTGGAGTGCAGTGGCATGCTAATGGCCACTACTGCCACAATCTGTTGTGCTCAGGAGATCCTTCTGCCTCAACCTTTCAAGTAGCTGGAAATACAGGCAGGAGCTACCACACCCAGCTAATTTTTTTGATTTATTGTAGAGATGAGATCTCGCCAAGTTGCCCAGGTGGGTCTCAAACCCATGGGCTCAGTAAATCCACTCACCTCAGCCTGCCCAATCATGGGATTACAGGCTGAGCCACCAGTCTGGCTTTTTTTTTTTTTTTAGTTGGAGTCTCATTCTGTTGCCTAGACTGTAGTGTGGTGGCACACTCCTGGCAACTGTAGCCTTGAAATGTTGGGCTCCAATGATCCTTCTGCCTCAGCCTTCCAAGTATTCAGAGCCACATGTGCTTGCTACTACACTGAGCTAATTTTTTATTAATTGTAGAGATGAGGTCTTGCCAAGTTGCCTGGGTTGGTCTCAAAACCAGGGGCTCAGGCAATCCACCTGCCTGGGGCTCCCAAAGAGCTGGGATTACAGGCTGAGCCACTAAGCCCGGCCTTGGGCTATATTGTAATTCAAGTCATTATCATTTTCTCATTTTTGCCTTTGATTTGTATATTTTGGATATTAACATCTCTCCAGCTATAATGTTTGCAGATATTTTCTTTTGTCCTGTAAACCTTCTTCCTGTTCCCCTTATTGCCCAGAAGCATTTTAGTTTGATGTTTTCAACTAATTGATATTTACATTTATTGCATAGTAATAAAGACATTATTACTAAGACCAATATCAATATCAAGGGTGTTTTCCAAATTCTTGCTAAGGTTTTGTTTTATGAGTCATGGTCCCTGTCACTCAGACAGGAGTATCATGTCTCAAGTAAGGCTCACTACAGCATTGAGCTCCTTAGCTTAGGTGATCAGTCCATCTCAACATCCTGAGTACTGGGATGAGTTAGCCAAAAATATTGATAATAGCTTATATGACTGTATGTTTGTGCTTATGCTAGTTTGAGTTCAGTATACTTGTTGATTTTCCGATTTTTCTTCATTGAATTTGAAAATTTCTCAGAATTTTTTGCAATTTTTGTCTCCCCAAATTCTGATTTGTAATAGTTTTTTAATTGCTTTGTTGGTTTCCTGGTTTAGTTCGATTATCTGTATTCTTTATAGCTCATTACATCACATGAAGTTGGTTATTTTGAATTTTTTGTCAAGGCATGTATATGACTCCAATTATTTGGAGTTGAATTCTGGATTTTTGTTGTTCTATCCTTAGTCGATTCATTTATCCTGATTCTTTTTTTGCTTTGGGATACGTTGCTGGAACTTGGGTATTTGAATAAAAGATACCTGTCATAATGTTTATGAAGTTGCTTTGTCGAGAGAAGTGTAACATCAGTCAAAAGTTAGATCATCTGGGAGTTTGTAATACCTGTTCTTAGGATGTGTCTTCTCTGGAATTATGCATGTACTCTTTCTGTTAAATAGTTAGACCACATTTCTTCTGCAGGACTCATTGTTATTTGCTACATCTGTGATCAATCTCTGGTACTGAAGTCTGTCTGGTCCTGTAAGAAAAATGTTCCTTTAGTCTCAACAGCTGCAACCTGTTATCCAAAGTATACCACCATCTTCTTCATCACTCTGTAAGTTGGGACAGAAACCAGCCTTGGGTAAACCCCCAAAGGGCAGAAATGTGGACTCATGCTCCACTTTTCTGTTTATTCTCTGAGGAAGAAATCAAGAGTTTCATGTGATTGCATCTTGCTGTATTGTAAAGGGACATTGTGGTGACAAAATTCCTAAACATCATCCATGTAAATCTTTTTAACATTGTGCTTACTGGGGATTGTGCAAAGCTTTAGCTGTTTTTTGAGTTCTCACAAAGGCAATGTGGCAAGTATTTTCTTTCTTTTTTTTATATTGTGGGGTACAGTTAAGGGTTAGGTATAAGTATTTTCTTAAGTACATATATTTATGAAGGAATGGAAATGTGATTTTTACTTCCCATCATGCTAATGCCTTTAACATGGGGTAATATTATGTTTGATTTTTAAAGGTTATTCACTTGAGTCTAATATGAGGAATAAATTTTATTTTCACTATTTTTACCTCTGATTTCTCACTACACTGAATGTCTTTTGTCAGAGAAGAACATAGAAGTGTCACTTGCAAAGGCACCAGTGGGAAGATATGGAAGATTTGGTCTTATGAACTTACAGTTAAAAAAATCTTGGGAAAGTATCTTGAGGGTGACGGGCAGATAGGATGTTCTATTGCATATAACCATTACAAATGTAACAAATGTGAGAAAGTCTTTCATCAACACTCCCAATTTATTATCCACCAGAATATCCATATTTCTGAAATGGCTTCCAAACATGAATATGGGAAAACATATAACCAGTTCTCAAAATGTAGCCAACATCAAAAGAATATTAGAGGAATTGCACACAGTGTAGATGGGAAAGTGTTTAGGAAATCATCTTGTCTAAATAGACATGAAAAAATCCATATTGCAGAGAGAGCCTTTAAAAGTGAAGAATGTGGCAAAACCTTTCGCTCTCATTCAGAACTTACTCGACATAAAATGATCCATACTAGAGAGAAACCCTACAAATGTGAAGAATGTGACAAAGCCTTTCACATTCGTTCATGCCTTATTCAGCATTCACTGATACATGCTGCAGAGAAACGCTACAAATGTGAAGAATGTGGCAAAGCCTTTCATACTCGTTCATACCTTACTCAACATATGGTGATCCATAGTGGAGAGAAACCCTACAAATGTTAAGAATGTGGCAAAACCTTTTATCCATACTCAAGACTTATAGAACATCAGAGAATTTATACTGGTGAAAAACCCTACCAATGTGAATAATGTGGCAAGGCCTTTCACTCTCGTGGAGGATTTACTGGACATAAGGCCATTCATGGTGAAGAGAAATGCTACAAATGTGAAGAATGTGGCAGAACCTTTAATTGGTACTTGGGCCTTATAGAAGATCAGAGAACCTATACTGGAGAAAAACCCTACAAATCTGAAGAATGTGGCAAGTCTTTTCACTCTCAGAAAGGATTTGCTGAACAAAAGAACATCCATACTGGAGAGAAACACACAAATGTGAAGAATGTGGCATAGCCTTTTGCTCCCAGAGTAGATTTGCTGTTCATATGACCATTCATACTGGAGAGAAATGCTACAAATGTGAGGAATGTGGCAAAGCCATTCATGCATACTTTAAGCTTTTAGAACATCAGAGAATCAATCCAGGAGAAAAACCCTACAAGTAGGAAGAATGTGGCAAGGCCTTTTGCTGTCAGAATGGATTTGCTGGACATAAGACCATATTTGAGAAAAATACTACAAATGTGAAGAATGTGGCAAAGTTCTTCTCTCTCATTCACACCTTACTCGACATATGGTGATCCATACTGGGGAGAAGCCTTACAAATGTGCAGAATGTGGCAAACCCTTTTCCTGTAAAAAAGCAGTTGGTAGACATATGAAGATCTATACAAGAGAGAAACCTTACAAATGTGAAGAATGTGGCAAGGCCTTTTGCTTTCCTAGACAATTATCAGGACATAAGACCATCCATACGAGAGAGAAAGGCTACAAATGTGAACCATGTGGCAAAACCTTTTGCTCTAAGACTGAATTTGCTGGTCATGTGATCATTCATACTGGAGAGAAATGCCACAAATGTGAAGAATGTGGCAAGCTCTTTTATTCCCATTTAAACTTGCTCGACATATCAAGGTGCATACTGGGGAGAAGTCCTGCAAATGTGAAGAATGTGGTAAAACCTTTTGCTCTCATTTTAGACTTGCTGGACATAAGAGAATTCATACTGAGGAGAAGTCATACAAATGAGAAGAATGTGACAAAGCCTTTAGCACTTATTCAATACTTGGTTGACATATGAGCATCTATATATATATAGAAACTTTATAGATGGGAAGAATGGAGCATAGTTTTTCATTGTTTTTCCATGTTTTCTCAACATCAGAAAATTCATATACTCTAAATTTCCTGTGTGTATAAACTCTAGACCATGGTGAGAAGTTTACAGATATAAAGAGTACCATTAACTTTACTTAAGCCAGAGATCTTTTGAATGTACAAATGTTGAAAATGATTAAGCCTTTAACCAGCTAAAAGTTTGTTTGAAGTTAGATTGTGCACATGGGACAGAATTTATAAATTTAAAGAATGTTAACCAAACTTTGTTCAAAATATATGCCATAGGAAACACTTATTAAAAAGTATTCAGAAGCTGGGCTCGATGACTCTGCCTGTAATTCCATGCTTTGGGAAACTGAGGTGAGAGGATTGCCTGAGACTGTGGGTTCGACGTGCACCTGGACAACTTGGCAAGACCTCATCTCTGCAATAAATCAAAAAAGTAGCCTGGCAGGGTTATGCGCCTGTTGTTCCAGCTATTTGGAAGGCTGAGGCA